AGAAGAAAAGAGAAGAAAAGAAAACAAAAGAAAAGAGAAAGAAAAGAAAAGAGAAAGAAAAGAAAGAAAGGGAGAAAGAACGAAAGAATAAGAAAATGCAACAACAATAGCCCAACCAGTCGAAGCACCTAAAGATGCTCTAATGACGAAGGCAGAGCTTTCTGGACGCAGAGAGGGCACACTCTCTGAGCTGCCCTTCGTGGCTGCAAGCAGGACGGAAGAAAAGGCAGTTTTGACGTAATCGCACATGGCAGGGGAAATAGAGATGCCTGGAGGATGCTGATAGTTTGGAAAGAAAACTAAATGGAGTGTGGGAGGAATGTCAAGAGAAGTGTTATAAATCCTTCTCTCTCTTCTTCAGGGAGGTGGGTGGTGGGAGGTGTAAATAATCTTGCCAGAAACGGAGATAAGGAATTTATACCTTCATCTAAGCCTGCCCTGTCGTCTGTATGTATCAGTTACTAGTTACACATCCAAGCAGGCAGGCTTCGTGACAGCGGGTCCTGTGGGCATGCTATTATTTCCACCACCTCCGGCTGCCCCCGGACTCTCTTCTGCAGGTTGAGGCTCTAGAGAGAAACGCACAGGCCTGGCCACCAAGAGCTCTGGCTTTTTCTGTGCATCTATAGGAATTATTCCCTCTGCGCGCCTCAGTTTTCTCTTCTGTAAAATGAGGATTGGGAGCAGACAGTCTCTAATGGCCCTTGGAGCTCTATTTTCTCATGTTTTCAGGGAGCATCCACCCTCTGGGGCTCCCATCGCTGACTCTGGGCCAGTAAATGACCCCTCAGGGATAAGTCAGTGGCACAAGTCCCTTTGGAGTCAGCTGTCCTTAGCTGGCTCAGACAGAAGGTTTTAGAGGCCAAGGAAAGGAAGGCAGTTCAAGCAAGGGGAGTAAGTAAAGGGAGAAATGTGCTTCGGGATTCAGACTGTCCTGAAGGGATCATAAGCTTTGAGTCTTTGGCCCTGTGGGAAGATGGTAGCGGTCCTAGGAAGAGCAGGCCTGTGGGCGAGAAGACCTGGGTTTAAATCCTTCTCCCCACACCTGCCATGTATGTAAAGTCACCATGTCTGAAGCTCTGTAAATGGAAATGACGGCCGGATAAATAGAATGTGACATGCATACAATGTGATATTATTCATCCTTAAAAAGGAGATCAAATGATTTCTGTTGCAGCTTCTCAACTCTACAGACACAGAGCAAACCGAGCCATGGACACTATGCAAATGAGTGACTGTGGCTGTGTTCCAATAAAACTTTATTTACAAACACTAAAATTTAAATTTCAGGTCGTTTTCACAGGCCATGAAATACTCTTCCCTCGATGTGTTTTTCAACCATTTTCAAAGGGGAAAACTACTCTTTGCTTGCAGGTCAAAACAAAACAAAACAAAACAAAAAACAAGCTGGGGGCCAGATTTGGCTCATGAGCCAAAGGAGTCTAGAATTTGAAGTCATTCAAAATCTGGTTCAAATTCCCGTAGTGTGGCACAGACAGCGATGTGACCTTAGCAAAGGGAATTTATTTCCCAACTCATGTTGTTTCCTTAGCAAATACGGATGCTGAGCAG